GGGAGGGGGTATGTGGGGGGCGACTTTGAATCTGCCTGACGTCGCTCAGCGCCTGAAATTTAGCAAGCAAGCACTTAATGCATTTTCGATGAATTGAAAATACATGTGGCCTGACGAATGCCGGTTATTAGTGGGGGTAGTATGTATATTTGATATTCGCATTGATTATGTGGGAAGCCTCCTAGGTATGTTACTGTCCTGGGCACTGACTGAGCTGAGAATGGCCGGGCCGTGGCGCAGAGAGGATTAACTGGAGGAATGAAACCCATGACACTCCCTGGCTCTAGAGGCTCAACCAGGGACGGAGCGGGGCGTTACAGCGAGGAGTGGGTGGAGGTGGGAGCCAGGAATGGGGTGTGCAGGTTGCCAGGTGATGGCTATCTCCCCCGCCCCCATTAGTTGGTGAAGAGAACTTGCCCCTCCCTTCCCCCCTACCCCCTCCAAAGAATGCACCACCTTCAGACTGAAACATATTTAACCCTGTTTGCCTGGGCCCCAAATTAGTAAGGATTTCTCAGCGATGGCTGGAGCCAGGGTCTGCCCTTGGCCCAGCTCAACTGGGAGGTAGGCATTGTTTTTCTTTGTCAAGTTCTCTCTGGCCCTACTCCCTACAGGTGGCTGCTCACCTGTAGCTCCCAGTCAAGCGTTAGGGTATCTCACTCCTACAGGGAAAACTGGGCAAAACTGAGTTCACTCCAAGATGTTACCCAGTTATCTGTTCTCTTTCACACGTGTTTGGAATGGAGCATTTGAATGTGTTCATCTAGTTACGTACAGTGGTTCTCAACCTTGGCTGCACATTAGAATCACCTGGGAATCTTTTTATTTTATTTATTTATTTATTTTATATATATTTTATTGATTTTTTACAGAGAGGAAGGGAGAGGGATAGAGAGTTAGAAACATCAATCAGCTGCCTCCTGCACACTCCCTACTGGGTATGTGCCCGCAACCAAGGTACATGCCCTTGACCGGAATCGAACCTGGGACCCTTGAGTCTGCAGGCCGACGCTCTATCCATTGAGCCAAACTGGTTAGGGCAAGGGAATCTTTTTAAAATCCTGATTTCTGGGCCTCATCCTCTGGAAAGTCTGTTTCTTTGTTATGGGGTGAGGCCACAACATTAGTAACAAAGAAACAGAATTTCTGGAGGATGAGGCCCAGAAATCAGGATTTTAAAAAGATTCCCAGGTGATTCTAATGTGCAGCCAAGGTTGAGAACCACTGATCTATACCAGACCTAGCCTCCCATGTTGCCACCTAGCCCCTACAGTTTATGAAGCACACTGATTCACATTTTATGTTTTAGATATCAACAGGTTTTTAACTTTCTCTTGTGAAGGCGATAGGAAAAGCCAGAGGGTTTGAAGTTACCGGACTCCTTTTTCTGGAGGGTGGGTCCAATTTCAGCATGCATGCTTGCAAATGTAATACCTGATTCGCTTATCTGGCCAAAGATGAATAGGCATTTCTGAACTCAAATCAGATAAAAATGGAGAGCCCTAGGTGAGGATGGATGGGGTGTCTTCATGGCATCAACTTACAAGCCATAAGGTGAGCAGTGTCTTTGCTAAGGAGGGGCTGAAGCTATGCTCATTTTTCATTTGATTAAATGACATTTGGGGCCTTGGGTTGGTTTCCTCTCCGGCTTCAACTGGGAGCCATTGGCAGTCCTTTGTTTGGTCCCAACCCAAGATGTGTGGCTATTATCATCTGTCTCTGCCATCTGTTTCTTATGGGAGCGTTTTATTCCCTTGAAAGGTAGAGTGCATCTCCCTGCCAGAGATGGGGGTTCCAGACCCTCGGTCTGGTCCTGACTCATTGTTGGGCCTCAGGCTGCTCGGTCTCTCAAAACCCGTTTCCCTATTTATGAATGGAGCTTGTTGCCTGACTTAATGAATGTTTGTCAGATGTTTCTGGGTTCCTGGGTTAAGGGGGCCCATATATAGATTCAAAAAGTTCTGTTACTGCTTTGTGAGGAGTGAAAACCTCCTTAAGCTCCCTATTTCAGGAAGTGTTTACTAGTAGGCTTTGCATCTTCATTTTCACATCCTCTCCATTGTAATGCTAAATTACAATGATTGGTTAGATTGGTTACTCCTGCCACTATTATATGAACCGATTACCACCTAGTCACAGTATCAGCCTGTAGGAAAATAGCACTTCAGTTGATTTTTTTAATTTTTATTTTTTATAACTGCTAAGGAAGGCTTCTTTTATTTGCTCCTCTAGCAGTAGGTGAAACTACAAGCATTCCATTTATCACTTCCTGGGACTTTCCAAGGTGCTGGGGGAACCCAGTTAAACATACCCTGTCTGATGCCAGGGTACATCACGTGGGCCCTCAAGATAGCTGGGATTTGGAAAATGAGATATACACTGAGAGGCAGAATTTTAACAGAAACTGGTTGGGCTAGGAAGTCATTTGAACTAGTCATTAATGGATTGACTCCAGTTTAGACATTAAAAACCAGAAACAAAACAAAAGCTCAAAATTAAAAAAAAAATTTGTTGTTGTTAATCCTCACCTGAAGATATTTTTTCCATTGCTTTTCAGAGAGAGTGGAAGGGGGAAGGGGGAGAGAGAGTGAGAAAGATAGAGAGAGGTGAGAGGTGAGAGAGACACATTGACTGGTTGCCTCCCACTCTCACCCCAACGGGGGTGGGGGGTGCGGGGGGAGTGAACCCAAAACTGAGGTGTGTGCCCTTGACTGGAAATTGAACCTGTGACCCTTTGGTGCCCAGGCCGACACTCTAACCACTTGGCAACACTGGCCAGGGCCAAAAGCTCAAATCTTGGTCTGTAGGTTTGTATGTGTGTGTGTGTGTTCACCTCTAGCAAATAAGGTTGCTGTTATAGAGTATGACTTTCATTATGAGTCTGGAAGCTGAAACTCAAGGCATTAAGAGCTAACTGTGCTAATCTTTCCACTTGTTCTTTTGGTAAGCCTCCATCTGTCATATCTTTGTAATCAAGAGAATATACTTTTTATAATGGCTCAGATTTCACAGACCTTGACTTTAGTGTGATGACACACATCTTTGAAGCACCAAACAGAGGCTGACGTAGGATAGGATACATTTAATAGGGGAGAGTGCATAGTCCCTTTACTTAAGAATAAATAGAAATGAATTGGTTTTGCACTTACGCTTACCTATTATAGACCTCTTAGGTCGCAGTTGGGCCATGGTTAAATGGAAATCAGTTAAGTCTCATGGTCATAAAACAGACCTGAATCTGAGAGGCAGAATCAGGTGACTAACATGTAGGGTTCTCTGCTCAGCTCTCTAGTCTCATGTAGTGTGGGATTCTAGATTGATTAAAACAATTTTTTTTAGTATGGTAAGAGCAACACATTTTGGGGAAATTATCAGTTGATAGATTAAAATAAATATTCATTAAGGCTGGTGACTGGAAGGCCATTGTGTAACTAAATATCATGCAACTTAATACTGTAATAGTGTTCCAGATATGAAGAGAGAGTGTGAGTGGTAGAGAGTCATTTTCCTATATGTCTTTAATATTTAAGGGGGAATTTGGTTGTATCTGAAAGGATTTGGATATTAATAAGGGTTAACTATTTTTGAAGAGCTGTAAGAGTAGAAGAATGCTGTAATAAGTTGCTGAAGGAAATTTGGGTTATTAAAAAGAAATAAAGGCCAGAGAGCTGTTTTTTCTGGGAAAGCTGGATGCAGGGAAATGACTTAGAAGACCACAGAGATGTGTAATTCACAAATTATAAGCAGTCAGCGTTTGTGCTTATACCTTTAGGTTTCCTAAGCATACTCTTAAGTTTTTCGTAACAGATTGGAAAATTTGAGCAACACTGTTAAGTTTTTCCTTTCTTGGGATTCCCCTTAAACATAATATTGGGCCTTCCTGGAAACCCTCCTATCTCTCACCCAGCCACAGTCCCCTCCCACTCCACTGTAGGAAACGGATAGCTCAATGCCCAAGACAGTTCTCTCTCCTCTGGATAAACCCTAACCTGTTTATGGCAATGGAGTGAAATGACTAAGAAGGGGGAAGGTACCTCAAAGTCATTGTATTAAAGGTGTTCCCTTGTGTTTTTCATGGTATTATTTGATTATAATTTTATTTGTAAGACATTCAGTTAGCTTGGGGAAAGCTCTAATTGCTCCCCCCCCTTGTCTTTAAAGTTTATCTATACTTTTCATAAATGTCTTTTAATACCTACTATGTGCCAGGTATTGGGTATACAGTGTAAACAGTGGTGACCAAAACTGACATGATCCCTGCTTTCAGGAAGCTCAGAGCCTTATGTGGGGTATATAGACATGAAACAAAGGAACACATAAATAAATAATCATGTATTGTGATAAGTACATGGAGGAAGAGAACAGGGTATCATAAGAGAAAAGATCGGGGACGACATGATTTAAAGAAGAAGATTGCAGATAGCCCCTCTGAGGCAGAGACATGAGAATAAGGAGGAATTTTTCTAGTGAAAAGTAGAGGAGGGAGGCCTGATTGGGGTGGGCAGCCTGTGCAAAGGCCTTGAGGTAGCTAGAGAGATTGTGTAGATTGAGGCTGAAGAGGAAGGCAGGGCTTTATTTAAGAACACCGGGAAGCCAATGAGGTGGTGTAAACCATTTTATTAAAAATTGTTGTGGCTGTTAGGTGAAGAATGGATTTGAAACAAGCCTAGCCTGGAATCAGATAAACAAAATGGGAGGCCACTGATGTAATAATACAGGTGACCAATGGTGGTGGCTTGGGTTAGGGTGATGGCTGTGGAGATGGACACAGGTGGGTGGATTTCAGAAGTATTTTGGAGGCTCAGTTGGCTTGGCTTGTGATGGATTGTGTGTGGGTGAGGGTGAATGCGAGGAAGTGATAAGAATAAACAAATAAAATAAGGAGAGCTTGCTGTTGAAAATGAACCAGGAAGTGGTGGCTGCTTTCTTTCCCCAACAGTCACTGTGATAGGGTGAGGTCACCATTGCAAAAACAGTTTTGGGCAGTGACACCTGTGAGTAGGAAACATCATTGAAACCAGGGTGTGTATATGTGTGTCTTCAAGTATTTACAGTTTTAATACAGGCCAAGTCTTTGTTTTGTAATAGCATAGCTGATGCAGTCTTACTGGTGTGTTCCAACATGGCTGATGAAATCACTGCTTCAAGGAACATAGGACTAAGAAAAGGAAAAATAATATGTAACATTAGGAACAATAAACCCAGAAATGGGAAATAAAACTCTGGGGCAAGTAAGTCAGCCATTTGAATATTTTTCACATTAGGGAAAGTGTGCGTATGAAAGTCCTGTGCCTTTTCCTTTTGCTTAAACTTCCTTTCGGTTACAAAGACTCCTATTGTATTTCTGTAGCTACCATTAGGGGGAAGGTTTTTTGTAAATAGTAGGTCATTTTAATTGTAGTTATTAACTAAAAAAATGTTATAATCACATTGAAAGCAATACATGTGCTGATGAAAATGTCAAGAACCCAAACATGTATTTGCTGATATCATTCTTCCTTTAACAATAATCTGCCCTGACCAGTTTGGCTCAGTGGATAGAGCATCGGCCTGCGGACTGAAGGGTCCCAGGTTCGATTCCGGTCAAGGTTGTGGGCACATCCTCAGTGGGAGGTGTGTAGGAGGCAGCTGATTGATATTTCTCTCTCATCGATGTTTCTAGCTCTCTATCCCTCTCCCTTCCTCTGTGTAAAAAATCAATTATATATATATATATATATATATATATATATATATATATATATATATTTAAACAACACAATAATCTTAGGTATATATTAAAGTACTTCAATTTTAATTGCCATCTGTCCTAGAGCACTGCTTCTCACCCTATACTTTTGGAGGGATATTAGCTCTGGTTTAGCTCCAGAAGGATTAGGAAGCCCTGGCCCAAGTGAAGAGAGTGAGCGGGAGTAATTTTAGGCTTTATCTTCACTTCAGAGCAGTCCCCTGGGTGGCCCCTGGTTCTGGGTCTGGTGTCGATCTCTAAATTCTCAGGCCTTTGAATTCCAACAAAAGCGGCAGCTGGCTGCCAGGATTTTTGTCTTGGAAAAAACTTGACAAGAGGGTTCTACTTACCTTAAGGAGGTGTCCTGGGTCACATCTTGTGCCCCAGCTGGCTCAGGAAGAGACCACGCTGACTTTTACCTGCTTCTCCCTTGGCCAGGGATCACTGGTCTTATTTTCGCTGTGTGACCCAACGCAGGGCCCTTACATAGTCTCTGAGCGTGAATCTCACACACACACACACACACACACACACACACACACGCACTCGCATGCTTGCAGTCCCTTAGGCACAGGCAGGCGGTCGTTTGCCTGTGTGGACGTGGAGAACTCTTTAATCTTACATTTAACCCAGTTCATTAAAGCCTAGGGGTGTCCGAAGTGTGAGGTCAAAGCTCTGCCCATTCAGTTTCCCAGTCTGGGGTATGGCTTGCTTGTCTGTGCCCTTTCTGAATATGAAAGAAGCAGGTTGCCTCTGCAGCTTGGTGGTTAATGATGCTTTTGGCAAAGGAGTTGCTTTTAGTCACTAATGAGACAAGAAATTCCTT